GAATGGGGCCTGCCAAGAAGATGGGAGGAGGGAAGGGGTTGATGACATTCAGATGGACTTAGAGAATGGGGTCACATAAAGCTGGGAACAGAGTTGCCATCTCAGATGGCCTAGAAGATAGAGCTGCAGTCCAGAGCCAAGCGACTTCTACCCAGAATCCTGAGGGCATGGCCAGCACCCAGAGTCTGAAGGGGAGTGCCATTGCCCAGATGGCCTCAGAGAAGAGAGGATTATTTTCAAGCCTTGAGAGCTAATGTAATTTGTTCTGCTGGGTTTTGGACTTAGTTTGTGCATGTCCTTCCAATTTCTCCCATTTACAATGGAAATACCTCCTTTATGCCTGTCCACCATTGTATTTTGGAAAGAGATAACTTGGAGTCTAGATTTCACAGGTTCACAAAGGAAGAGGAATTTTGCTCCACAATAGAACGTGCCTGAAGTTTCATCCATATTTGATTTAAATGATTCAGAAGATGAGATTTTTGAACTTGGAGTTGATTTAAGACTTTTGGGACAATGTGATAGTGAGCGGGTTTTGTATGTGGTAAGGACATGAATTTAGGGGTATCAAAGGGTAGAATGTTATGAATCGATTGACCCCCCAAAATATGTGTTATAAATCCTCATCTTTATATGGTATTTCTCTTAAAGCAGTACTAGATAACAAAGACAACAGTGTAGTTTGTCTGAGATAGTACCATGAAGCGTTACTGGAGCTGTCAGAATGGGTCATCCTATCCTGACTGGGAAGAGGGCATCTCAATTTTGTGGGCTAGCCCTTGGAGTTCTGTATTTGGCATAGGGAGAAACTCTGTATTTAGCTAAGGAAGGGGTTTTTAGATAACATAGTCACGCTTTGCATCCTCCTTTGCAGCATCAGGAACTGGGAGCGTAAACTTTTGGAATCTTCCTAGGGTGTGAGGCAGTTTTTGTAATTAGCACAGGATTTCTCAACCTTGGCACTGTTGAAGTTTTGGGTGGGATAATTCTTTGTTTTGGGGTTGGCGTATTCTGTGCATTGTAGGATGTTAGTAGCATTCTTAGTTTCTACTCACTAGATGACAGCACCTTCTGACATTACCAGATGTCCCCTAGGGGGCAAAATTATCCTGGTTTAGAGTGTCATGGGTGAAGTCAGAGATATGTAGAGGTAAGCAATATCCTCCTAATATTAACATCCACGATTACGAAGCTAAAACATCATGGAATGGTTTATTTGGTATACAACAAAAGTTGACTTTTTTATAAACATAATAAATCTCTCCCTATCAATTAAAAACATAATTTAGAAACCTCCATATTTGTGGAATTTCATTGTACAATGTGGGAGGAACACAGGAGAAAAAAGAAGCAGTCAGCTTCCATAAAGATATACAGCTTTGGCAGCCCTATGGGGACAGTTCTACTCTGTCCTGTAGGGTCACTATATGAGTCAGAATGGACTCAACTGCAGCGTGTTTGTTTTTACTTTGGGTATGGGAAGAATGAGTGAAAGTACATACATGCAGGGACTATTAAAGTGTCCAGCTAGAGGGTTTTGCTGTGATTTTCTTTCTTGGCGTAGTCTCACAGGCTGGTTGTTAGGATTGGTCAGAGCACCTGAAACAGTGTTGAAATCTGTAATATGTATTTCAACACTTTGTGCATTATCAGCCCTTTTCTGTTAAAACCATGTTGTGGGCTCACAGAGTGGTAACTCTGAGAGAAAAATAGCCTATTTGTCCATGTATCAGAACTTAGCTGCTTCAAGCTTAAGGGACAGTACCCCTTAATTCTTATAAATGAGGCATAGGGGCTCTTAAGAGGTTCATTTATATACAACTGGGACTGGGCTGGGTGCTTGCCTGATTGTACTTCCTGGTCATGAGAGCTGTTTGCTATTGTGGGGGTTGGTATAGACTAATTTCTCTTTTCATTTGGCCAAAATCCTCTTTGTTCAAAGGGAGACATCCTCCCTTGCTTTACTGTTCTCCTTACTGGCTGTGGATGGGAGGGCAAAATTGACCTTCAGAGTTTAATTGTGAAAAGCATCTTAGGTAGGAAGATTAAAATAAAATAACCCTAGGTTTATTGCTGAGAGAAGCTGTTCACATTTTCTTTGCATTCTCATACTGTGATCTGTATTTGTGTGGCATCTGAAATCAGGAGTCAAATTGCAGATAAAGAAGTCTGGCTTGGAAGTCTGACTGTCTCTAGTTTTGTAGTATCTCTGAACTGGTAGTGTCTTAAATTATAGTTAGACCTTTTGGATCTGATTATTTTGTAAAGCTAGGGAGATTTTAGGAGCTCTGGTAGCATAGTGGCTAAAGCACTTGACTGCTAACCAGAAGGCTGACGGTTCAAACCCATCAGCCACTCCTCGGAAGGAAGGTTGGGCAATCCTACTTCCGTAGTGATACTGCCTCGGAAACCCAAGGAGGGGTCGCTATGAGTCGGGGCTGACTCGACGGCACATAACAACAACAACAGGGAGACTTTACTGTCTAGTAGTAATAGTTAACATTTTTTGGGTGCCTGCTTGGTGACAGATACTGCTGTGTTCTTTATATAGATTATCTCATTTAATTCTCACAAACCCAAGAAGTGAGTACTAAAATTTTTACAAATTATGAAACTGGTGTTCATTAAGGTTTAGTAATTTGTCCAAGGTCATACAGCTAGTAAGTAGTAAAGCTGGGAGTCTAACCTGGAGCTCACTGCATTGTGCCGACCTTACTACACAATACAAAGAATATTTTATGTGTCTAGAAAGCATCTTGTAAATGAAGTGATTATAGACCCTTTAGTAGCAGCTGGTGGGGAAACAGACCTCAGGCACCAGATAACTTCCCATTCCTTTTACTTATCTGATTTTTGTGAGCCATCTTATTAGTATGTAATGGATTGAACAGGAAATGCTGTTCTTTCCCAGAACAGCAGAGAGGAGGTCACTCGTTTCCTCATGGATTCAAATACAGAATGGAAAAATGAACTGTGGCCTATCATTGAGTGGGAGGATATAGTTGAGTGCACAGAGGCAGAAGCCAGCGTGAGAGTGAGCAAGCCAGCCAGCCAGCTTGCGGGTGTGTGTGTGGGGGGTTGGCTGCACATAAAACTGGATGGGAGTGGAGGGATTGGATGAGATTTGCTTTCTAGGACTTCTGAAACGAACTACTGAATGTCCTCTTTGCTCTGTGATGCAAGCTCTGGAAGGACCCTAATATAGAGATGAAGGAGCCAACTCCCTGAGCTCTCTAATTTCAGAAAGATCATGCATTTTATGATATTTATGAGATTACTTACAGCTGAGGAGTGGCCCTAAATAAACTATGGGAAATCCTGGAGGACCCTAAGATCTTTTCTGTATAGAGACCTGGGTTCTTCATTGATGTGAAGCAAGCTTATGTCAGCTCCTTTTTTAAAGTAAAGTAAGAAATCTTATGTGGGAGATAAGTCATTCCTAAAAACTTTTTTTCCCATAAAGCAACAAAATACAAACTACTTTTTTTTTAATGAGGTTATTTAAAATATCACCTGTTGTTGTTGTTATGTGCCGTCGAGTCGGCCCCGACTCATAGCAACCCCTCCTTGGGTTTCCGAGGCAGTATCACTACGGAAGTAGATTGCCCCATCTTCCTTCCGAGGAGTGGCTGGTGGGTTTGAACCGCCAGCCTTCTGGTTAGCAGCCAAGTGCCTTAGGCACTATGCTACCAGAGCTCCTAAAATATCACCTAGGTGGGCTTATTGCCTCATTTTAGGAAATTGACAAACTTTTCTATATGAATTATTCTGCCCCCCTTTTCTACACTTAATGAGCAACTACTGCACTTTACAGACATAGGTATCTTCTTTGTAGTGCTGTTTTCTCCATGAGACTTTACTTTTAAACCACAAAACAAAAACATTAGGAAGGTTGGGCAATCTATTTCCATAGTGATACCGCCTCAAAAACCCCAGTTGGGAAGTGTTTGCCTTTTAGCTTGTTTGTGCAGTAGAGAAGAGGGCAGGTGCCAGAAGTGTTTGTGCCACCTCCTATCCTCAAGGATAAAAGCTAGGGATAAGGATTTTAGTGCTTACCTAGTTGCCAGACAGAAACATTTATAATTCCACATGGAAGTGTTGCTGCCAGGATTAGGTCTTTCCCTGGACTTGGCTTATCAGTTGCTTTGTACCATGGCTCTACTGACTATGAGTTGGGTTCAACTCAACAGCAGTGTGTTTGTTTTTTTTTTATGGTAAGCATGACAGAATATTATTTTTGGGGACACTCTCATTTAATGCTTTTCTACATGACATTTTTGTGAGCTGTGTTCTTGGAGAGCATGTTATTTTCCATGAGTAAGAAATAGAAGTGTTGCTGAATGATTTGGGTTTTGCCTTTTTGGTCACTTTTTCTGAAATGTATTCTTTTCACCTCCCTTTACTAATGTAATTGTATTCTCTTCTCCAGATGTCTAGGACTATGGATTAGCTGTTTAGCTTGAGATCTGTAATAACAAAACAAAACATGGTGTATATCAGATACACTTTTTGCCAAGACCCTCATTTCCATGGCTTCCAGTCAAAAAGATGTTTTGAGAATCTTCTGTGGCCTCTGAGAGTGGGACTCTGGCCTTACTTTGAGGAAAAAATTGAAAGGATGGAGAATGTTAAATGTTACAGTAGAGTGCTAATATCTGACATAGAGGGGTTACCTGGGCTAGGACACAAGGGTATGAGGGAGAAAGGGGAGGCTTACACAGGGGGAGGACTCCTCCATACTTGTATATGGTTTTTACAACTAACTTTTTTTTTGCTCTACATGGGCCAGGCTGGCTTTAAAAGACATTTCTATAGGACCGTAGCTTAGTTAGGGCTATATTTAATCCTCTTTTCTCATCACCCTCCCATCCATACTTAGGTAGAGAAGGGTAAGTAGATGGAGGAATGTGGGGGCATTCCCTTTAGAAGATTCCAAATGAGATGACCTTGTTTAACTGCCAGTATTTTTTTTTCCTCCTTCTCTCTCTCCCCTCCTACAGAAATGGAGGCAAATGACCATTTTAACTTTACTGGCCTTCCCCCTGCACCTGCTGCCTCAGGACTGAAACCCTCTCCTTCAGGGGAGGGCCTCTACACTAACGGGTCTCCCATGAACTTCCCCCAGCAAGGGAAAAGTGAGTGTGAGGGCCATGGCCTGGGGAGGGAATGGGTATTACTCCTGTGGAGCTGGTTGATGGGAGGAGATTTGGCTTCCCGTGCACTAGCTACCCCACAACAACTTTTTTCCTGCCAGGAGGGCAGGGAGGAAATGAATCCGTAGAACTTTAGCTGCTGGAAAGATATCAGGCTTCTAAGAACAAATTCTAGGGGTTTATGGAAGCAACACTATTAATCTTGACTTAAGGTTTAGAGGTTAGAAAAACATACTAGATTTTTCATCTTAGCTTGCTTTTCCATCAGCCCTGTTCCTGGCTACTGCCAGAGAGTAGTGATATGGATACTGCTGATGATAACCAGGTTAGACCCATGAAAGAGAGAGACATAAAAGGCCAGCCCTTCAAGAAGCTGTTTTTAGAGATTGGAGAAGTCTCAGTGGGCAAGGAGTGGGGGTAGGGGGGTTGGTTTGATGACAGTTGGGAAGTGTTTGCCTTTTAGCATGTTTGTGCAGTAGAAAAGAGGGCAGATGCTAGAAGTGTTTGTGCCACCTCCTATCCTCGAGGATAAAAGCTAGGCATAAAGGTTTTAGTGCTTACCTAGTTCCCAGAGAGAAACATTTATAATTTCACATGGAAGTGTTGCTGCCAGGATTAGGTCTTTCCCTGGACTTGGCTTATCAGTTGCTCTGTACCATGGCTCTACCAAGCACCTCTTTAATCTTGCCTGGTTTTCAGGCACCTCATGCTTGGAAGCAGAGAGAAGCCCACATGTGTCCTTCCTTCCTTACAGCAGAAAAATACTGTCACAGGCTTATACTTACCACTTCCCCCTCCTGTCCTCTACAAAGGAGTTACAGAGAGATAGAAGCTCTTTTATTTCACTTGAGTTTTTTTTCCTCAGTTTCCTCAGTATCCTGGTTCCTTTCATTTGATTGTCCTCCAACCCAGAGGTGCCATTGGTGTTGAGAGCTAAAGTCTGCAGCACTGGTCATGCAAAGACACTTTCCCCTTGTCTGCCCCCCAGCAAATTACCCTCCAGTGCCTATGGGGAGGGGCCGAGCCCAGCTTCCTGAGCTGGGATCTTGTCGCTGTGGTGACTGCAAATTCTATTCTTAGCCCAGCACTAAGTGCTGGATCTGCATGTGCCAGTGAGGTGGAGGCTGTCCCTTCTGGTGCCACTGTGGGGCCAACCAGGCAGTAGGGAAAAGGAGGGCCTAGAGAATTCAGTCATGCCCCCCACCTACCCAAGGGAAGAATTTCCTTAAGGAATAAGGGTGGGGAAGAATGTAAGCACTGTAGGGAGTCTGCAAACAGCTGTTTTTTGTTTCTTTCCTTTTTTTTTTTTAAATCTCTGAGCATATTTTGCTGGTGGCTCCCATGGTAGGGCCAAGGTAGTGAGTGCCCAGCCCCCTACTCTGTACCCTCAGCAGCAGTTGCTAAGCTTACATCCAGGAGCATTTTGGGTTTGGTGTTCCCTGGAGACTGAAAAGCCAAATATAGCGGATGGGGAATCCTCCTCCACTTCACCTTCCCTTTCTCTAGTCAGTGCTGTTACTTTGGGGTTCTTTTGGTAGAGTTACTTGCAGACTTATCTGTAACTGACTCTTTTCTCTCCTGCCAGGTTTGAATGGGGATGTGAATGTTAATGGCTTATCTACTGTATCTCACACTACTACTTCAGGGATTTTGAACTCTGCTCCCCACTCCTCCAGCACCTCACACCTCCATCACCCCAACGTGGCCTACGACTGTCTCTGGAACTATTCACAGTACCCATCTGCCAATCCGGGCAGCAACCTCAAGGACCCACCCCTCCTGTCCCAATTCTCTGGGGGACAGTACCCACTCAACGGCATCCTTGGAGGCAGCCGGCAAACTTCATCCCCAAGTCACAACACTAACCTTCGGGCTGGGAGCCAAGAGTTTTGGGCCAACGGTACCCAGAGTCCCATGGGGCTTAACTTTGACTCACAGGAACTGTATGATTCCTTTCCTGATCAGAATTTTGAAGTGATGCCCAATGGACCCCCTAGTTTTTTCACCTCCCCACAGTCTTCTCCTATGTTGGGATCCAGCATCCAGACTTTTGCACCCTCCCAGGAAGTAGGCAGTGGTATCCATCCTAATGAGACAGGAGAAAAGGAGCTGACTTCAGTGGTGGCAGAGAATGGCACTGGCTTGGTAGGCAGCCTGGAGCTGGAAGAAGAGCAATCAGGTATAACTGTAGGTTTGTGAGCTGGGTGGGGAAAGGGAAAATGGGGCTGTGGGGGGCAGTGGCTTTTTGAGGTGAGGAAAACTTGTCTTTCCAGCTCTCTGCAGTGGAGGCTGATTTGCATGTTGGTGATTAGCAGAGCCAAGTGGCTGGTGTTTTTGTGGCAGCAGCACCAGCTCGCGAGTGGGAGTGCAAATTATTTCAAGCTCATGCAGAGCTGCTGGCCTGGAGAGGGCAGGTGGGCGAGCCCAAAACAGCCCCAACAGACACCCTGCATCAAGAAGGGCTTCTTCCAAAATATAGGTGGGGGTTGGGGCACTAGCAGTGGGCACTGAGATAGTTTGAAGTGATTATGGTAGGGTCAGACTGGCTACTAACCTAGCCTTCATAATGATTGGCATATGAAGGAGGGAAGGAAGCAGGCAGAGCACACCATTGCTTGTCTACTCAGAGTTTCTTTTTTTGTTGTTGTTAGCATTGGTACATGTGACAATTCCTCTCATCTTTTCCCTCTAAATATATAAAAGCACAGTTTGCAGTTGATTCCAAGTACAAGGGTGACCACCCTATAAAATCACAATGTTTTCTCTACCATCTATTCCCACTGGATGGGGAAGTGATATGAGAACATGATGGGGCTCTTAGACCCCACTCTTCTTTCCCCTCTCTTTGCCTGCTGTAGGATTTTACCAGTACATCTCTGCTCACTTAGAGTATCTTGGTATGATCAGTACCCAGCATAGAACTGGCACCCTGTCAGTAATAAATGTTGAATGAATGAATATCCCTCTAGGAAAGACTGACTACTTGCTATAGCTAAATCATTCAGTTGAAGGCACAGATTTTGACTTTTGCCCTTTTCTGGGATTTCCCAGAACTGAAGATGTGTGGCTATAATGGCTCCATCCCCTCTGTGGAATCATTGCACCAAGAGGTCTCAGTCCTGGTCCCTGACCCTTCAGTGAGCTGCTTGGATGTTCCTTCACACCTTCCTGATCAACTGGAAGATACTCCAATCCTCAGTGAAGATTCTCTGGAGCCCTTCAACTCTCTGACATCAGGTGGGCTTAGAGGCTTGATTCCTCCACCTTATCCATGTAGAGGGTAGCCAGCTGTCTACTACTTCGAAGAGATAGCAAACCAGGGAAAGTACTAGGAAATCTGAGGCATTGGGGCCTCCAGATACTCCTGTGGCAGATCCCAGTTACATGCCTCTGGCGTGCCTGGACCAACTGCACTCTGAGCTGATTTGGTTCCTTTCCCAGGTTCTCTCCCAATGTTCCTTTTGGCCATGAACCCTAAGGCTGTAATAGTTCACTGGATAGGAACTTATTACCACATAGCTGGGCTTTTTAGCTTCTCACTAGCAAGGAAAAAAAAAAAAAAATTGCAATGAACAGTTACCTTTTACCCCACTGAAGTATAAGAAAGTCTGTTTTATGATACGTATCATGAGTTCATATAGAGCCAGTGCCTTTCCCTTCATTTCTACCTCAAGCTTTAATGATATCTATAGTCTGCTAGCTTTACTGTTTCAGGGAAAGGGTTGTAAATTTTCTCTAATTTAATACTAGAAAGAACCTTCATACTATGGGAATTAGAATTAGGTATTTTCAGACTAATATTCCTTAAAGAAATCTTGCTTTCTGATTTTTCCTTAATATCTGTCTTTCTGTTGTTTTTTTTTTCTTTCCACCATGTACAGAGCCAGTGAGTGGAGGACTATATGGCATAGATGACACAGAGCTGATGGGTGGAGAGGACAAACTGCCTCTGGGAGACAGCCCTGTGATCTCTGCCCTTGATTGCCCTTCACTCAATAACACCACTGCCTTCAGTCTCCTGGCAGATGATAGTCAAACTTCAGCCTCTATCTTTGCCAGCCCGACTTCTCCACCTGTCTTAGGGGAGTCTGTCCTGCAAGGTAAGTGAGGAGACATAGGACAAAGAAAGTAACACTTGACCTAGGAAAAGGTGAGATGATAGGGTCAATAGTTAGGGCCTCAAGGGTGGGAAATCTGTAAGAGCACCTTGCTGGGAGCTGAGGGGCAATATGAGGTAGTGTGTGGTGTGACTAGAAAAGGCAGTCTATACAGGCAGTCAGTCCCTGGGGCATGAATGTGATCTGTTCCTGGGTTTTTAGGAATTTGTAGATAAGTCAGAACATGTCCATATAGTTTTTATTTAGCCTTATTTTAGTGCAAGAACAGGCTGAAAACCTTTTCAATTATTTAAAAGCTGTATGTGCAGCAAGTGAAGGTGATTTTGATGAAGAATGTGTTACGGATGGGGGTTGGCTAGATTATCTCAAAGTGAGGGCCAATTTAAATAACATTAAATGGCAAGTAGTCATTGTCCTTAAGTAAGATGTTCACATTCATAACCTGGGGACTGCCTGTACTCTGACATCTGCTCTGTGCCCAGAAGAGCTTGTAAGATTCAAGAGTTTGCAGGAAAAAGGAAGCTAGAGGCCTTACTTTAAAAAAAAAAAATCACTGCCGTCAGACTCATAGCAACCCCTCCTTGGGTTTCCGAGGTGGTATCACTACAGAAGAAGTAGAGGCCTTACTGGTATCAGGTAAAAGACATTTCTTCACACAGTGACAGCAGCTGCAGCTTTACCCTTTTACCTTCATGAGTCTTTAGGAAAGCAGAAGTTACTTTTTTTTTTCCAACCCTAGAGAAAAGCTCTTAAAGTAACCCTGTTTACCTTAGTCCATGTGTGACTGAGTACAGCCTCTTGTTTTGAGTGACATCATTTTTCCTTCATCCATCCTGTCCTTTTGGGTTCCAGATAACAGTTTTGATCTGAATAATGGTAGTGATACAGAACAGGAAGAAATGGAGACTCAGGCTTCTGACTTCTCACCACCCTTGACCCAGCCAGCCCCTGACCAGCCATCCACTATTCACCTACATCCAGCAACTTCACCAGCAGTATCACCAACAGAGTCCCCAGAAATCTCCCCGGCAGTTTCTCCAGCAGCTTCCCCGGAAATCTCTCCAGAAGTCTCCCCAGCAGCCACCACAGAAACCTCCCCAGTCATCTCCCCAGCAGCCTTCCCGACAGTCTCTCCAACTTCCTCAGCAGCCCTGCCAGCAGTCTTCTCAGAAGTCTCCCTGACAGCCTCCCCATTGACCTCCCCAAGAGTTGCCTCTGCAGTTTCCCCAGCAGCTGCCTTCCCAACAGCCTCCCCAACAAATAAGGATGTCAGCAGCTTCCCTGAAACCACTACTGACCTGGAAAATATCACTGGAGAAGGAATCACTGCTGGTAGTGGTGAGTGAACAGATTTTGTTCTACTTCTGACTGATTCCAGGAAGAATCTCAGTGCCATGTACCATTTAGCCCTTCCCCATTGGCCTGTTGTTTTTGTGTTTTGCTTGAACTTTTAACTTGGGTTTGCTTTGTCTTCCTCTCAAGGTGATGTCCTGAGGAGACGTATTGCTACCCCAGAAGAAGTTCGTCTTCCCCTCCAGCATGGGTAAATGCTCTAGTTTGCTACATGCGTTGACCTTGACAAGTTTAATGCATGACTCTGGGAAGAAAGGTGCTCCTCTTTTTGTCCAAAGTGGGAGAAAGAGTAAGCTAGATAAGAGTGGATAAAAAGACAGTTTTCTGTAATGGTATTTCTTGGTATGAGATTTTAAGGTCTTTCATCTTCCTTTCTCAGGATCTGGCTCCCCTCATCCTTTCTTTCTTCAACTTGTATTTAGTCAGTTTTGCTCAAGGGGCTCTTTCCAAACCCAGCTGGTGACCCTCAAACCAAGATGTCTAAATTAGGTGGCTTGTCCTATTTGTATGAAGAGGGGATACTACCAGTGAATGAGGAGTGGCATAGTAACTAATGAACTTTTTTTTTTTTTTTTTTTTAATGATATGTTCTTTGGAGGGGTAAGGGAAGGAACAGTACATGACCAGATTAAGCAAGACAGCTGACACCAAGGGCCTTGTAGGACTAACTGCCTTCCTAAATCTTTACTACCCCTACCCCTCTAGGCAACTTTGGTCACCTGGTCTGAGTACTGCTTACAGTTTTGAGGGAAAGATAAAGCTTGGTCTTAGAATAATCTATTGCTCAGAACAGAGTTCCTAACTAAACCCTGGCCTACTGAAACATTTCAAGGAATCAGCAGCAAGATTACTCTTCTGCTTGCCTCCCTACCCGCTGTGGGTTTTGCCTTTATTTCCCTTAAGTCTTGCTTCTTCTGGTGATTTCTCTGAATGGCATCAGAGAGATTTCTGGGCTTGTGTGTTTCAGTGTATTGCTTTGCTCCTGAGGGCTTGAAGGATTTGCTGGCGCTTGAGCCTCCCTTGTAGTTAAGCTTGTGTTTCATGCTGCTTTTGCACCACATACAGTTCTAGTGAGACAACTATGGGGAGGGTCATCTGCTTAGTGGGCTTGGCTCCTGGGTGGCATGGGAGTGGGTAGGGGTGTGACCTGGCGGCAGGGCCCATGTGCTTCTCTGGCAGGTGGCGGAGAGAGGTACGCATCAAGAAGGGCAGCCACCGATGGCAGGGGGAGACTTGGTATTATGGCCCCTGTGGGAAGAGGATGAAACAGTTTCCGGAAGTGATCAAGGTAATGTAGCTTTCATGGGCTTCCTTAGGGGGAAGCACAGACTGCTTTCATAGGCCCAATAGCAACAGACTGGCATTGTTCACTCTAGGGCCTGTTTTGCTTGTGAAGTTGTTAAAGGCATGGTAGGACTACATCTTCATTAATACCACTTTACCTCCTCTTCTTAGTATCTGAGCCGCAACGTAGTACACACCGTCCGCCGTGAACACTTCAGCTTCAGTCCCCGCATGCCTGTTGGAGATTTCTTTGAAGAGAGAGAGACACCAGAGGTGCAGACCCAAGGGTTAATTATGCATTTATCCCAGAGAAAGGGTTGGTGGACAAACTGTAACTTCTTGTGGGGTTTGGAGGTTTAGGGCTTTGAATGGTTACTAGGGCCTGGTAGCCTGCAGTGACTCCCTCCCATTTTAACACAGTCTTCCTCATTACCTTAGGGCATGCAATGGGTACAGCTCTCAGCAGAGGAAATCCCATCCAGGATTCAGGCAATTACTGGCAAACGGGGCCGGCCTCGTAACACTGAGAAAGCCAAGACCAAGGAGGTCCCCAAAGTGAAACGGGGCCGAGGTCGGCCACCCAAGGTCAAAATCACTGAGCTATTGAGTAAGACAGACAACCGCCTCCTAAAGAAACTAGAGGCCCAAGGTACAGTGGCGTTTCTTGGCGTTCTGCTTCCTTAGTGAGGTAGCTGAGATGAAATGCTAATACCTCGGTTTCTCAAGAGTGTGATTGACATTATGTAGACAGAATGAGTCTGAATCAACTTCTCTCTGGAATGCTGCACTGGGCTCCCAGCCCTTTGGAGTTCTTTATTGGGGAGGCGGGCAATTTCTTCCTTGGATTGCTCTTACCATAGGAACCTTAGACTGTCCCTAGATTTGGTTGTATATCCTGGAGGAGGAGGAGGCTTTCATGCCCTTTCTTTGTCTTTCAGGAGCTTACTAAGCACACTGGATTCTGTTGTACAGTTCTTATTTTACGTACTATCACTATAATGGAGATTCAGAATTCACATCTACATTCAAAAGATTTAGCACTGTTTTTATGAGATAGACTGTAGGCAGTGTCTAATTTTTCAGTAAATATTACAGTAACCCCCATGTAGGGGAGCTCTGGCATAGCACCTGAGGCATTTGACTGCTAACTAGAAGGCTGGTGGTTCATACCCACTAGTCACTCCTCAGAAGGAAAACTGGGCAAGATAACGCCTCAGAAGCCCAGGGAGGGGTCGCTATGAGTCAAAACCGAGTCAACAGCAGTGAGTTAGTTTTGAGATGTAGTGTGAAAAATGTGGGAAAATTTGGAGTCTTCTGACTCCATTTCAGTGACATCACTATGGGTGTTGTCACCCGTTGCAGTAACTCATGGTGTCATGTGGACCCTCTGTACCAGACCATACAGAGTCCTTAGTAATGTCTGTGTCAATTTTAATCATAAAATAATATGTGATAAATACGGTTGTAAATTGCTTCAATGTAATATTTCTCAGATTATATGAATACTAACAACAAAATTGTGTTATAGCATTTTTCTACACTGAATTACAACCTTATTAGTTACAACATTATTAGTAACTGAGCAGAAGCTTTTTTTCTTTTTTTAATTTTTCTCCTTTTCCTTTAATTACTACTTCATTCTCAAAAAAAGTTATTGATACAGGTTCATAGATACTAATTACCACAATATTATAGCTAAAACACCAGAAAATTGGATAAAATCAGCTGCTGTCAAAGTGCCGGCAATAATAAAAACAACAGTATGTGTTTGTATAGTGCATGCAAACAAAACCATGTGATTCTAAGCATCATTGTAATAGGATAATAATGATAGCTCTGACCAGAGTATATTAAAAGGTCCAAAAAGTAAATTAGCGTAGGCTTTTAGCCTTGTGGGTAATATTATATGTGTAATATGGGGTTATGAAAAATGTTTTTTGTTGTTATAACTAACTACAGAAATATTTTTATTAAAAAAATAACATTTCTGCTGAAACACTGTGCAAAAATTTTATAGACATTCATTTTTATGTCACCCCCTCTGACAGTGTCGCCCAGTGCAGTCCACAGCCCCTCTATCCCCCTAATGATGCCATTGCTTCATTTCATAATCACGGTTCTGCCACATACTGACTGTATGGCCTGGAACAAGTCACTTAGGTTTTAATAGAAGCCTTAAGCAGTTCATTTTCAGAAAATGTGTCACTCAGAGTTGCCTTACAGATGGGGTATGGTAGTGTTACACCAGAGACAAACGAAGAGGTACTGTTATATGAAAAATATCAATTCTAAAATACTCTATTGTTTACTGAATTATACTTCAATATTCTCTTACAGAAAGAAACTCAGATCTTTTAGTGGGGCGAGACACGGGAACTGAGCATAAGCAAAGTTGTGATGAAGTATCCATTATCCTTTCTTTCTGGCATACGTTTTTTCTTGTAAAAATATAATACAGCATTTGTCCATTCAGCAGCTTTTTCACATGTACAATTAAGTGACACCAATTATATCACCATGTTGTCTGGTGTACTCTTGCTTAATCAGTGCTTCCAACTCTGGAGACCATTCTCTTTCCCTGACAGTTTGGCTTTCTGTTTCTCTGCTCTTAAAATCAGTTTGTGGGTTGCTGCCCTTGTCAGGTAGCCTGAGAGAGAGAGAGAGGCTACAAGACTACCATTATGGCCTCTTTTCCATCAGTAGGATTCCTAGAGCCCTCTGATCAGTTTCAGGGGCTGGCTGGTGCTTCTCGGCAGAAAAAACCATTTGAGTGCTTTGTGCTTCCCCCACAGCGAGTGCCTCCCCTACTTTTTCCCCATACATTTTATTATGTGTGCTTTAAAGAAACACAAAACTAGATTCTTCAGGTAGTTGTTTAAGGGGCCAGCTTTATGACATCCACATGCCACCTTGAATGCCAGGGATTGCACTTCTGTAGCATTCTTCATTTTTTTTTTTTTCCCCCTGGCCTCACAGAAACACTGAATGAGGAGGATAAAGGAAAGATGAGTAAAATTAAGAAGATGAAGCGGAAGGTACAACGGGGAGAAAGTCAGACTACTATCCAAGGGCAGGTGAGTGGAATGAAAGAGATTACACAGTAGCTAACTTTCCCTATTACCGGCTTCATCTTCTCTTCCATTTCTCACATCTGCCATTCTCTATAGCAGATCTTCAATACCTTGAAACCTCTTGATTTAGAGAATTAGGTGTATTCGAGAATAATGTGGGCATGTCCAGGGTGAGAGAATTGAGCCATTGCCAATCCCTCATTCCTCATACCATCTCTCACCTCTCCTCCGCAGCACCTTTGTCTGTTTCAGAATACCTAGCCCAAGCAGAGATACATTAAAAGTCTGAGGAGAAATGACTTCCTTTATGATTTTCAGGCTAGAAAGAAGCGGAAACAAGAGACCAAAAATGTAAAGCAGAAGGAAGCTAAGAAGAAATCTAAGGTAGATGCATGTACACACTCACCCAAGTATAACCTTGAAGCCACAAAATTGCTTTTACAAGATACTTATGCATTGACCATCATCTTCTTTTTTTCTTTTTTAATAATTTGTTTTATTTTTGTTGTTGAAAATACGTACAACAAAATGTACACCAGTTTTTACATGTACAATTCAGTGGTGTTGATTAAATTCTTCAAGTTGCATAGCCATTCTCACTCACCTTTTCCAAATTATTCCTGTCATTAATATAAACTTCCTAGCTAACCTTTCCAAATTGCTATTGTCAATTTGATCTCATACAGATAGTTCTTTAAAAGAACACAGTGCTCAAGGCAAACTTTTTTTCTTTTTCAATTTTATTGTGATTTCAGTGAAAGTTTATAGAGCAAATTCATTTTCCATATAGCAGTTCATACACACTTTTTTTCATGGCATTGATTGTAATTAACCACAATGTAACGGCCCTCTTCCTGTTTCCTCCCTGTGGTTACCTTTCCCTGTGTCCTTCTTTCCTATGCATTCCTGCCCCCTGAGCTATCTCCCTTTGCAAACCAGGGGCCATAGTCTTGGGTCTCACTAGGTTCTATCAGACCAGTAAGCCTCGCCTTTTTTTTTTTTTTTTTATGATTTTGAGTTTTGTTCCAAATTTTTCTCCCACTCTATCCAGGATCTCTTGCACTGATCCCTTTCTGAGTGGTTGATGTTGGTAACCAGGCACCATCTAGTTCTGGTCTCATGGTCATATAGGCTGAGGTTCACATGGTCTACTGCTAGTTCCTTGGACTAATTGTTTCCATGAGTTTTTCATTTTCTTCATTCTTCTTTGCTCTGGATGAGGAGAGACCCATTGTTGCATCTACATGGCCGCTTGCAAGCTTTTAAGACCCCAGTTGCTACTTACCAAAGTAGGGTGTAGAACAGTGTTTTTATATAGTACATTATGCCAGTTGAGGTTGATGTCCCTTGGGACCATGGTCCAGCAACTCATTCCGTCAAGGTGGTTGACTGTGCCTAAGAAGTTATCGTAACTTTGCCCCCTGTTAGTTCTAGTTACATGCACATTCTTACAGCACATACAAATAACATTTGTAGAAACAGCATCTGCTAGCCTTATATGATTGTGGGAATATTCCTTTTTGCCTAGACATACCTGATCATTCAGCCTGTCTCCCCATCTATTTACCTGTAGATTAATGTTTGCTATCACTGATAACATAGTATTGTATATGTAAAAGGGTTAATAATCTTTGTTGTCTCTATTTCTTGTGCACCTCTCTCTCTGTGTCTCCCTTTACCTTAACGTTATTATGTTGGTTACTGGCTTTCAAGGCAAACTTCCCTTATTAATTAAGCTAAAGTGTTGTTTGGTTTAAAGTAGATTTCAGGGGATATTTTTGGTTTAAGGTTTAAAGATAGTTAAATTTCTGGGCTCTGTATTTGGAAGGGCCTGGGACCAGGGAAAGGCAATGACTGGTATCTGTGTGAGACTATTAGTTCCTCTCTCCCTTGGGTGGGTAGGCTGAGAAGGAGAAGGTAAAAACAAAGCCGGAAAAACTGAAGGAAAAAGTCAAAAGAGAAAAGAAGGAGAAGGTCAAATTGAAGGAAAAGGAGGAGATAGCCAAAGCCAAGCCAGCTTGTAAAGCAGATAAGACCCTGGCCACACAGAGGCGCTTGGAGGAACGGCAGAGGCAGCAGATAATCTTGGAAGAAATGAAGAAGCCCACAGAGGATATGTGCTTAGCTGACCACCAGGTAGTGAGGGGAGAGTAACAGGTCCTGGGTCATGGGGGTGGGGGGCAGTTTTGAAGATATTTCCATTAAAGGAAAATCTCATTGCTATCCAAACTATTAATTTCAAGTATATTTGACAGGACCCACTTTTATCTCAACAGCCACTGCCTGACTTCTCACCCATCCCTGGTCTGATACTGCCCAGTGGGGCCTTCTCAGACTGCTTGACCATTGTGGAGTTCCTGCATAGTTTTGGCAAGGTGCTGGGCTTTGATCCTGCCAAAGATGTGCCTAGCCTGGGGGTCCTACAGGAAGGACTCCTGTGTCGAGGTGACAGCTTGGGTGAGGTGCAGGATCTGCTGGTGCGGCTCCTGAGGGCTGCACTCTGTGATCCTGGCTTGCCCTCCTACTGTCAGGTGAGTCCTTTTCCTGGCATCCAGTGCTTTGTCTCAGTTGTGTTTTCTCTTTAAAAGTGATTGAAAGTCCCTCCCTAAAGTGTTAGGGACAAGAGAAGGGAGATGCAGCTTCCTTCCGTTTCTGTTTTCCTTACATTATTCCTTCTGTTCCTCTTTCTTCCTGACCTCCCTCTGCTTATTTTGTTCATTTCTCTGTATTTTGTTCATTTACTTCTGCAGTTTTCTTTCCTCTTCTCTCATCTTGTCCTAGCAACTTTCATTCTTCTTGTCATACCTTAACTCTCTAGTTCTCTTCTTGCTGTATTTTCCCCTTCCAGGTTCATCTGACTTGAGTTGCTCCTCTTTCCCCCCTCATTCCCATTATGCTCTCCTTCAAACAGTCCCTAAAGATCTTGGGGGAGAAGGTATCCGAGATCCCACTGACGAGAGACAATGTGTCTGAGATCCTGCGTTGCTTCCTCATGGCATACGGAGTGGAGCCAGCCCTCTGTGATAGCCTGCGCACCCAGCCTTTTCAGGCCCAGCCACCCCAGCAGAAGGCTGCCGTCCTGGCCTTCCTTGTGCATGAACTCAACGGCTCTACCCTCATCATCAAGTGAGGGGCTTGGGGTGGGGATGCATGTCTGTCTTGTGTCATACGTGTTTCAAAGCCAGCCTGAATGGAATGGGGGAGGAATATAGCCATCCAGAAGTCCTGGGGTGATTGCGTTCAGTGTCATGCTCTGGAGATGCTGGGGTACCCTGGGTCTGAATCTTTGCCCTGCCTGGGAAAGATTCTCTGCTGTTTACTGAGTCTGGGCTCTAGGCTGGAACTCCCTATTCAGCTGTAGGCCTATTATCCCTCCTGAGCCTCCCTCCCCCTGCTTGTGTTGCTCCTTCTACTTCAAAATCTCATTCCACTTTCCTGTCCTACTGCAGTGAGATTGACAAGACCTTGGAGAATATGTCCAGCTACAGGAAAAATAAATGGATTGTTGAAGGCCGGCTCCGGAGGTAGGGATGAGACAGAGGGCAGAATTCAGAAAGAGGAGAGAAGGGGAGAAGGGGGAAACATAGCCAGGACTTTTGTTGGAACTTAATGCCCTGGTATTGGGACCTACCAGGGCTCAGGATGGTTTAGATTCCAGGGTATTCTTTTGTGGCAGTTTCAGGTTCCTCCCCATTTTCCCTTAATCTCTCCCTATCTGTTTCAAGACTGAAAACTGCTCTGGCCAAGCGAACTGGACGACCTGAAGTAGAGGTGCAAGGGTCAGAAGAAGGCCTGGGGCGGAGGCGCAGTTCTCGGATCATGGAAGAGACCAGTGGAATGGAGGAAGAGGAAGAGGAAGAGACTATAGCAGCTGGCCATGGCCGTAGGGGTCGAAGAGATGGAGAGGTACTGGCCTAGGACTGAGGAAAGTAGAAACTGGGAAATATTTCCCTTTCTGAATTCTAACTTCTTTTGTCTTGTCTACTTGTTTCTTCTCTAGATTGATGTCCCAGCATCCAGCATCTCAGACCTAGAGCACCAGATAGAAAAACTCAGCAAGGTAATGTGTTTTGTTACTTCCAGAAGCTAGGGATCGGGGCTGGGCATGAAATGATCACATTTTGAGGTGGGCCCAGGTGGCATCAATTTTATAGGAAAGCTGAGGCCCATTGCCTTTTCCCTCTATACTGGATAAATTCACCACTGTCACCCTGGAAATGTGTTTTTTATTTATCTTCCTTTTTCATTGCCCATCCAGCGTCAGCTTTTCTTTCGCAAAAAGCTGCTTCACTCATCCCAAATGCTTCGGGCTGTCTCCTTGGGTCAAGACCGCTATAGACGCCGCTACTGGGTGCTGCCATATTTGGCTGGTATCTTTGTGGAAGGAACAGAGGGGAGTTTAGGTAGGTGTATCTATGGGATCCTGAATTGTAAGGCCTAGTTAACAAACATTAACTCCTTTGCTTCTACTTGGGAGCTCTGGTGGTGTAGTGCCTAAGGCATTTGACTGCTAACCAGAAGACTGGCAGTTCAAACCAACCAGCCATTCCTTGGAAGGAAGATGGACAATCTGCTTCCATAGAGATACCGCCTTGGAAGCCCAAGGAGAGGTCGTTAAATTTACTCAGGATCAACTTGATGGCAATGACTAGCTGTCTTAGGTTTCTTTCATTTGATGAGATTCAGTACAGCATAATGGTGCCAGCTCTGGGGTAAAAGACTACCTACCTACCTGTTCTCCCATTTACCAGCTTTATGTCTGTTTCTTCACTTGTAAAATAGAGGTGATATTAGTATATATACTTCACAGGGTAACTGAGAGAATTAAAATGAGTTAATGCTTTTAGAATAGTGCTTAACATATAGTTACTTCTTCTTGGTAAATGTTAGCTTGTAATTATGATAACTACTTGGTGGAATAGTATTTTTTCCCCAGATACTGTGTTCATTGGCATGTAAGCTGTTCCTAGTAGAATCTCAAGATGGGACTAAGGGGGAAAGGAAAGAAAGTATATATACTATGTTTATACATACCCTTTCTTTCCCCTTATATATCAGTGTATATCTTAAGTTCTTTACTTCTCTTTACAGTTCCTAAGGATGTGATAAAGCAGGAAACTAACTCCTTGAAGGTGGCAGCCCATCCCGCACCTAACCCAGCCCTCTTTGTAAAGAAGGAGTTAGCTGACTCTAGTACCTCTGCTGGTTCTCCTGCCCGGGCTCGAGGCCGACCTCGAAAAATTAAGCCTGGGTCTGTGCGACCTAGGCACCTTAAGTCCCCTGTCATGAGTCAGGATTCAGAACAGCCTCAGGCTCAGGCTCAGGCTCAGGCCCAGGCCCAGCCTCAGCCCCAGGCCCAGGCTCAGCCCCAGGCCCAGGCTCAGCCCCAGACCCAGCCCCAGACTCAGACCCAGACCCAGCCTCAGCCTCAGCCTCAGCCTCAGCTTCAGCCCCAGCCCCAGACCCAGCCCCATAATGGGTTCCTAGATCCAGAAGGTTCCCCTTTGTCTCTGGGTCAGAGCCAGCATGACCTCAGCCAGTCAGCCTTCCTTTCTTGGCTGAGCCAGACTCAGAGCCATGGCTCTCTATTGAGCAGCTCAGTCCTCACACCTGATAGCAGCCCAGGAAAACTGGACCCAGCCCCATCACAGCCCCTGGAGGAGCTGGAGCCTGATGAATCAGAATCCAGCCCTGATCCTCAGGCTCCCTGGCTTAACTTCTCAGCCCAGATGCCCTGCAATGCTGCCCCTACTCCACCCCCTGCAGTTTCTGAGGACCAGTCTGCTACTCCCCCTCAGGTTCCTGCCTCCTTCAAGCCAGTAAGTAGCCAGAATTAGTTGTGTGCACTTGAGCTTTATCTTGCCACATACAACTCTCCCCGCCCCAGTTGCCTGGTTGAGACCTCTTACCTGAAGTTGGAGGAAAGGGTAGAGCCATTAGAATCCTGTAAACATGAAAACTCCCTCATCTTTTATCTCATCTCATTTACAGGTGATTAGACCCAGTGCTGCCAATTCCTGTTCTCCATTGCAACTCATTTCTACCCCTTTACCTGTGGTAACACCTAAGAGGCGAGCAGGGGATCCTGGAGAAACGCCACAGAGTCCCACCGGGCTGGGACAGCCAAAACGGAGAGGCAGACCACCGAGTAAGTTCTTCAGACAGATGGAGCAGCGTTACCTAACCCAGCTGACAGCCCAGCCTGTGCCCCCTGGTGAGTGATCTCAGGATGAGGTATAGGGAAAGAGTATAGGTAGGAGTGGCATAATATGTGGGCAGTGTGATTCATGGTTGGTTCTGGTCCCCCATCTAATACCCCCACACACATATACTCTGCTCACAGAGATGCAGTCTGGCTGGTGGTGGATCCGAGATCCTCAGACATTGGATGCCACACTCAAGGCCCTGCACCCCAGAGGCATCCGGGAGAAAGCACTTCACAAACACCTTAGCAAGCACAGGGACTTCTTGCAGGAAGTCTGTCTGCGGCCCCCAACTGGTAAGATACGTACCGTGACCCAGCCTGAGCTGAAAAGCCCAGGGTGAATGTTGAGGTGTTACTGTGGCCAGTGGCTTTATAAGCCTTTTCCTCTGCCTGCTATTTTCCCAGACCCCATCTTTGAGCCCAGACAGCTACCTGCCTTTCAAGAAGGGCTTATGAAATGGTCCCCCAAAGAGAAGACCTATGAGACAGACTTGGCTGTTCTTCAGTGGGTCGAGGAGCTGGAGCAGCGAGTTATCCTTTCTGATCTGCAGATTCGGGTATGCTGGAGAGGCCTGGGACTAGAGGGTTGTCTGTTGGAAGTATTATTAATTCCTATATGTGGCTAGGTAAAATTCTGGGTCCACACTTCACAAGTGATCTACCATGACCTTATATGGGTCACATTTCTTTCAGTTCCTCATTTTCCTCCTATACGATGAGGGACTTTTTTCTCCTCCTTCCCACATTTAGGGCTGGACATGTCCCAGTCCAGATTCTACCCGTGAAGACTTGGCCTACTGTGAGCATCTACCCAACTCCCAGGAGGATATCACCTGGCGAGGTCGGGGCAGGGAAGGATTGGCACCCCAGCGTAAAACTACCAACCCTCTGGACCTGGCTGTGATGCGGCTGGCTGCACTAGAGCAGAATGTAGAGCGACGGTACCTGCGGGAACCCCTCTGGCCAGCCCATGAAGTTGTGCTAGAGAAGGCCCTGCTCAGTACACCCAATGGTGCCCCCCAGTGCACCACTACAGAGATGTGAGTGATCCCCACACACATACTCTTATTCTTGGGAAGAAGGGATAATTTCTTTTTTTAACGGGGTCTGCTTTTCATGCAAAGATCACCATTTTTGCCCTCTAGATCATATGAGATCACCCCTCGCATTCGGGCCTGGCGCCAGACTCTTGAGCGATGCTGGAGTGCAGCCCAGGTGTGCTTGTGCCTGGATCAGCTGGAGAGGTCTATTGCCTGGGAGAAGTCTGTCAACAAAGTGGTAAGAGGCAGATAGAGCCTGGGAAGGCTGGGAAGTCAGCCAGCTGGGACGGGTGGAGTCACTGTCAGGCAGAGGCTTGAGGGCTCACCCTGCCTCCTCACATCCTTGGTCTAGACCTGTCTAGTCTGCCGGAAGGGTGACAACGATGAGTTTCTTCTGCTTTGTGATGGTTGTGACCGTGGCTGCCACATTTACTGCCATCGACCCAAGATGGAAGCTGTCCCAGAAGGAGACTGGTTCTGTGCTGTCTGTTTGGCACAGGTAAGGCATCTGTCCTCCCATACCGTCTCCCAAGCAGAAATCGGAGGTCCTTCTCTCTTCATGACCTCAGTCTCTCCTTGGAAAGATCTCCAGACTGTTAGGAGACCTGAGTTCTGGTCCTTTGAACAAGTCACTTAAATGCTATAGTCTTTTTTTTTTTTTTTTTCAATTGTGATTTGGATGAAGGTTTGCAGAGCAAATTCATCTTCCATATAGCAGTTCACATACACTTTGTCTCAGGACATTTACTATAATAATATCCCACAATGCAACAGCTCTCCTCCCACTTCTTCCCCATAGCCACCTCTTCCCTGTGTTCTTCCCTCTCATGCACTCCTGTCCCCCCAACCTGTGTTAATTGCTTCCTCAGAAAGTGGAAATAATTATACCTTCACTTTATATATATATTTTTTTAATATTGTGATTTGGGCGAGAATTTACAGAGCAAATTCATTTTCCAAACAGCAGTTCATACATGTTTTGTTTCATGACATTGACTGCAATTCACCATAGTCTAACAGCTCTCTTCCCACTTCCTCCCTGTAATTAACTTCTTCCGTCTGCCCTCCTTTCTTATGCATTCCTGCCCCCTGAGTTATTTCCCTGTGCAAACACTGCCCTTCTGTTCTCCCACAGTTGATTGGTCTAAGGAGTGTATCTACCTGCCTGTCTTGTTACTTGGCTGGAAGCCACAGGAATAAGTTCAGTTCCAGAACCGAAGGATAGCTAGGGGCCATAGTCTCTTGAGGTCTTACCAGGCTCTGTCAAACCAGTAAACCTGGTCTTTTTTTTTTTAAATGATTTTGAGTTTTGTTCCACATTGTTCTCCCACTCTATCCAGAATCTCTTGCACTGATCCCTTTCTGAGTGGTCAACAGTGGTAGCCAGTCACCATCTAGTTCTTCTGGTCTCATAGTCATATAGGCTGAGGTTTGCATGGTCTACTACTAGTTCCTTGGACTAATTGTTTCCATGAGTCTTTCGTTTTCTTCATTCTTCTTTTCTGTGGACAAGGAGAGACCCATTGTTGCATCTGTATGGCCACTTGCAAGCTTTTAAGACCCCTGTTGCTACTTAACCAAAGCAGGATATAGAACAGTATTTTTGTGTAGTATGTTATGCCAGTTGACGTTGATGTCCCCTGCGACCACGGACCATGGTCCCAAGCCTACAGGTCCAGTTATTTGGTCAATCACGGTGGATGGTTGGCTGTGGCCAAGAAGTTATCATAACTTTTCCCCTTGTTAGCTCTATTATACATTTAGACATTATTATAGCACATACAAATACATATGTAGAAGTACCGTCTGCCAACCTTATATATGATCAAGGGTATATTCCCTTTTGTCTAGACATACCTGATCACTCAGCCTGTCCACCTATCTGTTTACCCATAGATTAATGTTTGTTATCACTGGTAATGCAGTATTGTATATGCAAAAGGGTCTATTTTTGTTGTTTGTACCTCTCTGTTTTCATTTTCCTTAGTATTACTATGTTGGTCACTCACTCTTGGTATATTGCCTTTCCCTTCACCCACATCAGTACGAGCCACTATCCAGTAGTGTTCCTTCCCCTCCCATCCCTGATAACAACAAGAAATGTTTCCTTCCATATATAAACCTTTCCCTGACTTTTTACAATAGTGAACTAATACAGTATTTGTCCTGTGATTGACTTATTTCACTCAGCATAATGTCCTCCAAGTTCATCCATGTTATGTGGTGGTTCACAGAGTCTACATTATTCTCTAATGTTGCATAGTATTCCATTGTGTGTATGTGCCATAGTCCAATCTTCTGTTGATGGGCACTTACGTTGTTTCTGTCTCTTTGCTGTGGTGAATAGTGCTGCGATGAACATGGGTATTCATATATCTATTCTTGTCCTGGCTCTTACTTCTTTAGGATGTATACCTAGTAATGGTATCAAATGTATTTCTATTTCCAACTTTTTGAAGAATCTCTGTGCTGATTTCCACAGTGGTATTATCTTACAGTCCCAACACCAGTATATGAGAGTCCCAGTTGTCCATGTCTTTGTCGGCATTTGTTACTTTCTTGTTGTTAAGTTTAGTGCTAGGGTGAGATGGCATCTCTTTGGTGTTTTGATTTTCATTTCTCTAATGGCTGATGATCATGAATATTTCTTCATGTGTTTGTTGGCCACCTCAGTATCTTCTTTGGTGAAATGTCTGTTCACGTGTTCTGCCCATTTTTTAATTAGATTGTTTGTCTATTGGATGTTGAGGTGTGGAGTTGCCTGTGAATTTTAAAGATTAGGTCCCTTGTCAGATACATCATCACCAAATATTTTTTCCCAGTCTGTAGGTTCTCTTCATACTTGTTTGGAGAAGTCTTTTGAAGCACATAAAAATTTAATTTTTAGGAGGTCTCAGTCATCAAGTGTATCTTCTGCTGTTGGTGAATTTTGGGTTATGCTTGATAGTCTATGCCATAAGTTAGGGCCCCTAAGTTTGCCCCTATTTTTTCCTTGATGAACTTTATAGTCTTTGGTTTCACATTTAAGTCTTTGATCCATATGGAGTTAGTATTTGTGTTTGATGTGAGGTATGGATCTTGTTTCATTTTTCTGCAAATGGATATCCAGTTTTGCCAGCATGATTTATTAAAGAGACTATCTCTGCCCTATTGAATGGATTTCAGCTGTTTGTCAAAGATCAGATGACCATAGGTGGATGGATCTATTTCTGGGTTCTCAATTCCATTCCACTGGTCTATGTGTCTCTCTCGTTGTACTGATAACTGGCAGTTTTGACTACTGTGGCTGTATAGTAGTTTTGAGATCTGGGAGTGTGAGACCTTTGACTTTGTTGTTCTTCAGTAGTACTTTGCTTATCTAAGGTCTCTCCTTTCCATATAAAATTATCAATTGATTTTTCCATGTCTTTAAACAATGTAGATAGAATCTGGGTTGGGATTGCATTGAATGTATAGATTGCTTTGTAGTATTGACATTTTCACAATGTTCAATCTTCCTATCCGTGCACATAGTATGTTCTTGCGTTTATGTAGATCTCTTACGGTTTTTTGAAGTAATGTTTTGCGGTTGTTTTTTTTTTTGTATAGGTCTTTTGTGTCCCTAGTAAGATTTAGTCCCAAGTATTTTATTTTTTTGATACCTATTGTAAATGGTATTAATTTCCCTATTTCCTTTTCAGCAATCACTTTGCTGGGGTAGAGGAATTGAACTGATTTTTGGATGTTGATCTTGCATTTTGCCACTATGCTGCTGCTGTTGTTGTTGTTGTTATGTGCTGTCAAGTCAGACCCAACTCATAGTGACCCCCTCTTGGGTTTCTTAGGGGGTATCACTATGGAAGTGGATTGCCCAACCTTCCTTCCGAGGAGTGCTGGTGGGTTTGAACCGCCAGCCTTCTGGTTAGCAGTCAGATGCTCTCAGTTAGTTCCAGTAGTTTTCTTGCTGAGTCTCTTATGTTTTCTATGTATAGGATCACATCAGAGAATAGGGATAGTTTTATTTCTTCCTTAGCAATTTGGGTGCTTTCCTTTCTTATCTTATTATGCTAGCTAGGATTTCCAGTACAGTGTTGAATAGAAATGGTGATAGAGATCACCTTGTCTGGTTCCCGTTCACAAGGAGAATGGGAACATTTTAGTCTTTCTCCATTGAGAATAATGTTGGCTGTTGGTTTTGTATATGTGCCCTTTATTATGAGGAGGAATTTCTCTTCTATTCCTATTTTTCTGAGTTTTTATCACTAATGAGTGTTGGATTTTATCAAATGCCTTTTGTGCATCAATTGATAAGATCATGTGGTTCTTTTTCTTATGTGATAGATTGCATTGTTGTTTTTCCAATGTTGAACCATCCTTGCATACCTGGTTTGAACCCTACTTAGTCATAATGTATTTTTTTTTTTAATATGTTGTTGGACTCTGTTCATTAGGATTTTGTTGAAGATGTTAGTATCTATATTCATGAGGGATATTGGTCTATAGTTTTCCTTTTTAGTGATGTCTTTGCCTGGTTTTGGTATCAAGGTTATGCTTGCTTCATAAAATGAATTTGAGAGGATTTCATCCTTAAAGTTCTTCATAGTATTTTAATCCTTTTAATTTTGGATGGTTCTGATGTGATGTTGACCATTTCATTTCTTATTTGTTCTATTTGTATTCTCTCTTTTTCCTTTAAGTTTGCCTGTGGTTTGTCAATTTTATTAATATTTTCAAAGAACCAACTTCTAGTCTGGTTGATTTTTTTTTTTTTTTAATTGTCCTTCTATTTATTTATGCTTAACTCTATATTATTTCTCTTTTTGTGGTGACTGTAGGCCTCTTTTGCTGCTCTTTTTATAGTTGTTGGAGATTTTGTGTTACGATGTTAATATTCCTTCTTTTTTTTAATGCATTTTATTAAAATACAATTTATGTACAGTGAAATACACAAAACTAAAGTGACATGGGTTGATGTATTTTCTTCTATTTTTTTTTTTTCTTTTTGCAGTGTTCCCTGCCCTCCTCTCCCACCCCTGGCAACCAACAAAGAACTTTAGTTTCTGTCCATATATAAACCTTTCCTTGACCCTCCACAACAGCGAACTAATACTACATTTGTCCTGTGATTGACTTATTTCATTCGGCTTAATGTCCTTCAAGTTCATCCATATGATGCAGTGTTTTTCAGACTCTACATTGTTCTTTAGTGGTGTATAACATTCCATTATGTGTTTGTACCATAGTATGGTCATCTACTCTTCCGCTGATGGGCACGTAGGTTGTGTCCATCTTTTTGCTATTGCTGTGGTGAACACGAGCGTGCATATATCTGTTCCCGTCCTGGCTCTCACCTCTCTAGGATATATACCTAGTAATGGGATTTCTGGGTCAAATGGTATCTCCAATTCCAACTTTCTGAGGAATCACCATATATATTGCTTTCCACAGTGGTTGTACCACTTCATGGTCCCACCAGCAGTATATGACAGT